CACTGACCTGTGGTCTCTCCACTGACCCGGGGTCTCCCCACTGACCTGGGGTCTTCCCACTGACCCGGGGTCTCCCCACTGACCCAGGGTCTCCCCCACTGGCCTGGTGTCTCTGTACTGACCTGTGGTCTCTCCACTGACCTGGGGTCTTCCCACTGACCTGGGGTCTCCCCACTGACCCAGGGTCTCCCCCACTGACCCCGGATCTCCCCCATTGACATGGGGTCCCCCCACTGACCCGGGGTCTCCCTAATGACCCAGGGTCTCCCTCTCTGACCCAAGTCTCCTGCTGACCCAGAGTCTCCCTGCTCATCTGGGGAATTGGGGTCTCCCCTGTTGACTCAGGGAGATGGGGCCTCCTCCACTGATCTGGGGGACTGGGCTTCTCTTCCCCTGACCCAGGGTCTTCCCCCACTGACCTGGGTAGTTGGGGTCTCCCCCCTAATTTGGGGGGCCTAAGATTCTCCCCAGCCTACTTGGGGCCTCCCCGCACAGTCAGGGTCTTCCCCCTACTGATGCAGACCTGGGTAACTGAGGTCTCCCCCCACTGACCCAGCAAGTTGGAGCCCTCCGCCACTGATCGGGGGGGCTGGACTTCTCCCCCACTGACCTGGGATCTCCCCTGGCTGACCTGGGTAGTCAGGGTCTCCCCCCCTGATCTGGGGACCTGGGCTTGTGGCCCACTGACCTTAGCAGTCAGGGTTCCCCCTATGGCTCAGGGAGCCAGCGCTGGGATGGGTCTAGGGCCACCATCACTCGCTCAGGCAGTTTCTAGAAGGAGCTGTGCCCACATGATGGTCATTGAGGCTCTGATGATCCAGGGGATAAAGGGGCACAGGAAGGGTGGCCCTGAGTAAGAGGCAACCTTGGGGCCCTCCCTCGAGCCCTCCTCTCCGTCCGCCTCTTGGGAGCCACCCTGTCACGGCCTCCCTGGCTCCCAGCCCTCCTGCTTAGCTAATGGCATTGGAGAAACGGCCCGGGCCCTCCAGTGACCTCCCCCGATGTACTGCTCGGCCTGTGTGCAACGCAGTGCATGTCCAGCCATGGTCAATCTCTTTCTTCAAGCTGCCATGGTCCTTGATGTGTTCCTCTGTGTCCCACTGCCTGAGGAGAAGCCAGGCTTTACAGCTTAGACATCTCCCCCTTGGAGGAGAAGGTCTCAAATCTTAAAAACCAAAGGGAACCCCGGGGCCAGCGGTTGAGACCCAGGGTGGTGACCCAGCATCAGGAGGGGCCCCGGGGACGCTCAGTGGCGAGGCCCTCAGCTTGCAGACTTTGAGCCACGGGCAGGGAGGAGGTCTCTGAGCCCAGCAGCTGCCGGGTGGCTTATCCCCATGGATTAGGGTAAAAATAGCCGATGAGAGAACGGGGTCAGAAACCCCAAAGCCCTTACCATCAAATGGATCCTGCCTCAGAGGGCCTGCCACATCCTTCTCCCGCGGGCCAGCTGGTGGGTTCACACCGCCAACTTTCAGTTAGCGGCCGAGCGCTTGCCCACCGTGCCACCAGGGCTCCCAGCTCTGCAGAGCAGCAGCTGGTGAGCTGGGACACATGTCCCTGGGAGCAGGCCCTGGGCTTGGCTTTGCTGGCCGGCAGTGTGTGTGCATGTGTAGGTTTTGAGCACTAGGTGTGGCGGCTGTGTGGTGGGCTCAGGTGGCTTCACACACAGGACTTGGTGCCAGTAAGGGCAGCAGATGGATCCGCTCCCAGATGCCCTGAAACGAGGGTGCTGTGTAGAGGGGTGGCCCAGTGCCCTTGCATGGGGGCTCCAGCCCTCGGTGCCCTGGCAGCAGCTCCCAGAAATCCAGGGAGGGGGTTTTTCTGCTTAAAGTCCTATTTTCAGAGTTAAATCTGTGCACACATACAAGGGTGTGTGTGCACGGAACGGCCAGTAGACCCTTCGGAGAAGGCTGCAGATACTCCTGAGCCTGGGGCCACCGGTGGCCTCAGTGTGCGTCTGTGAGGAGGGTGGGAGGTGTGAGGGCCGCTGTGTCCCGAGGCCTGGTCACGGGCCATGCTGTGTCCTGTGACCTCACACTCTGGGTCGCCACAACCCCATGTGGCTGGAAGAACTGAGAGCCCAAAGGTCAGGTGACCACCCGTTTGCATGCGGGCTGATGGCCCGAGCCCGCAGAACACATTCTGTCAGTCTGAGGCCAGGAGTCTGTAATCAGGATGCTCCCCGAAGGCGGGCAGGTCCCCTCGGGAGGCGCAGAGTAGGAAGGTGACCCAGGCCTCTGTGCAGTAGCTGGTGGCTCCCGGCCTGCCTTGGCTTGCTGCTGTACCGTGCCAGCCCCTTGTCCCTCTCCACTAAGCACTGTCCTTGGTGTTGGGGTGCAGCCTTGTCCAGGGTCATCTCCTTGGGTCTTTAATGTAAGCACATCTGCAAAGTGCCTATGTCCAAATGAGGCCATGTGCTCGGATCCCGGGTCAGGACTCGGCCGTGTCTGTGCTCAGTTCCAGGGTCAGGACTCGGCCGTGTCTGTAGGGGGCTCCCCAGCCACCCAGGCTCCCCTCGGCCTGGGCCTCTGCTTTGGTCAGCTGTATTTCTGTTCCCTTCTTGGGGAATGTCTGCACCCGCAGTTGAACTGGGTGTGTGGGGAAGACTGATGCCCTCAGATGGTCCAGTGGTGGCCGCCAGGCCCTGTGAGACCCTGGGGTGGGGTCAGCCTCCGAGTTCCCGGGTGTGTGGTCTCTGAAGAGGCCCAGGCCCAGAGGCTTCTCCTCTCCCACCAGGGGCTTGGCTTCCTCTTCTTTGTGGCGGCCTGCTTCCTGTACAAGTCCCCCTCGGGGTCTTCCAACGGCCTGGAAGCTTCTCTGCCCAGCCAGTCCTCAGGCTCCGACAACCCCACGGACCTCCAAGATGGCTCCTGTACCCTCCAGCACCAGAATGGCGTCTGACCGCCACCTTCGGGCCCCGGACGGTGCCGAACCCAGTGGACCTCACACCCGAGCTGCCCTGGTGACTCCCTCTCCAGAGGGCCCCCCAGCCTCCAGCACCGAGGACGCTTTGGAAAGCTCACAGTGGGGTGGGGGCTGCGTGTGTGGGAACCAAAGGGCACTGACGGAAATTAGCTGGAGGCCCGGCCCAGGGTCGGCACCCCCAGTTCCACCTGCCTCTCCCGGTCATCTTCCTGTCCTGCCCGTTCCACACACTGAGTTTTCCTGGTGGACCTGCCTACCAAGGATGGAGCCCAGACACGCGGACACATGGGCAGCTGTGCGTATGGGAAAGCTGCACAAGGCGCCGTGAGGTGCAGAAGTGTGGGGCTCGCCACGGGCCGGGGAGAAGCTGCCCCCTCTGTTTAGAAGCCTTGGTCCATGGGTGCTCTCATGTCAGGTGGAGGAGAAGGCCGTGTCCCTGCGGGGGACCACAGGGAGTGGTCAGAGGAAGAGCCCTGGTCTGCGCTGGCACTCGGGTGTGGCTTTTATTTCCTGTGGCAGCCAGGGCAGCGGCTGCTCTATGTGGGCAGAATGACCACCCTGCTCCGACTGTGGGGCTTGGGGCACGGCCCTCGGGCTGCCTGGCCGCCTGCCCAGACTGAGGTTTCTCCTGACCCAGCATGAAGGCTGACTGCCCGCCAGACTGCAGCGCCCTGGTTGGGCGGCCCACCGGAAGCTTGCGCTTGATGTGACGTGGGCAGTCTGCGGATGCCACCTCCACTGGGGGGACGCAGTTGGACAGGCATGTATTTATGAATTTTTGTTTTGCAGAATAAATGGTATTTATAAGACATGCTTCTGGTTCGACTTGCATGGGGGCGGCTCGAGTCACCTTCAGGGTGGGGTCCTAAGGGTGGGTCCCTGGGAGCCTCTCCGTGGGATGCATGCCCCCGTGGGCCCTCATGACACTGCCACAGAGTCCCCAGGTGCCTCTCCATGGGATGTGCCCCCATGAGTCCTCATGACTCTCGTGCAAATGGGGATAGTGTCCTATTTGAAGTTCGTGTCCCTGGACGGGGCCTTGTGTTTGGATTTGCAAAGCTTGCTGGCTTCACCCCTCTTTGTTTCCAAAGGTAGGGTTGGGAGTTCCTGGGTGGGTGCTGTCCTGGGCTCACAGTCCTCCCTGGGACCCCCTGCTCCCATCAGTGACCCCCCTTGTGACCAGAGGGACGAGCAGAGGCATCTCCCCCTTCCAGGTCCTGTGCCCACACAGGCCTCTGTCTTCCATCCTGGGTCCCCACTTTCCACCATCTTGGGCAATAACCTAGACTCCATCTTTGGAGCCCTGGGGCTGCTGTAGGGATGGCCAGACACTGCATGTTAGCACAAAGGCGTGTGCATGCATGTGTATGTGTATGCATGTGAGCACACATGTGAATTGTGTGCCTGTGTTTGCTGTGTGTGCGTGCACGTGCAAACACTGTGATATGTGCAGTGTGGCTGTGCTGTGTGCATGCATGTGTACATGTGCATGTGAACACACATGTGAACATTTATGTGTGTGTGCCAAGTGTGCGGCATGTGCCTGTGTGTGCATGCATGTGCAAACACTGAGTTGTGTGTGCATGTGTGCACTGTAACTGTGCTGTGTGTGCATGCATGTGGCATGTCTGCATGTAACTGACTGAAGGAAGAGCAGCCTGGGCTCTACGTCTGAAGAGGTTCTTGGGTGGTGGGGCCATGTGCCCAGGAAGTCCCCACGGGGCCCTGAGACCTACAGGCACAGTCCCTGGAGGCCTGTTCAGCAGAGCCCAGAGGCCGAGTGGACACTTTCAGGCTGTTCCTGGGACCCTGGGAGTGAGGCAGTCATGGGCTCTCGCTCTGTTCTGATGGCCGTGCGTCCCCAGCATGATGAGGTGGAGGTCTGGGGGCCGAGGAAATGACAGTGTAAGCCCCTGTGGTAGGAGCAGTGGAGTGAGGGGAACCGGAGATGGATCCTTCACTTAGGGGACCCGACCGACCCACGGCAGCGCATGGCACGAAGAAGAGAGGACTGAGGGGACTGAGCCCTGCTCCTTCCCGCCACCTCCTAGCCCACAGCCCATGTGGCGGCCAGGCTCCTTCCCACCACCTCCATGCCCACACGGCGGCCAGGCTCCTTCCTGCCAGCTCCATGTCCACGTGGCGGCCAGGCTCCTTCCTGCCAGCTCCACGTCCACGTGGTGGTCAGGCAGCTTTGACCTTGTGCCCGATGCTGTCCACTTTCTTTCATTGGGGACACAGCAGAACACACCCAGACAGTTCCATGATGGATGACATTCACCCTCCTTTTCCAAATCCTGCCTCTCCAGTCATGTGACCTCACTGTCCCCGAGGGGCTTCTCTAACCTTTGAGAGCCACGGGAGGCGAGCGGATGTGCAAGGCAGCCCTGATACCCCACCCGCAGCTCTGGGCTCCCGTGTCTCTGAGAAGCAAGAAGCAGCGTGAGCAGGGGCCTCAGGCCGTGTGGGGGCTCGGTGTCCAGGATGTGAACAGGGGGCACAACTGGGAGGCGGGGCTGGTCCTGGAGGGGAGCATTTTCAACACCAGAGGCCCTGAGGCAAAGACTACACCCAGGGCTGAGGCACGGGGGGCGCCTCCTCCCCATGTACCCCAACCATGGGGACCCTTCCTGTCCCTGTGGCCCCACCAGCACTGCCTTCACTTGGGCCGATCCTGGGGCAAAACAACCCATCAGCTTGGTTTGTGTGGTCCTTGTTATGAGGGAGGGAGCCATGGTGGTGCAGGGCTAAGTGCTTGGCTGTGAACTGAAAGGTCAGTGGTTCAAACCCACCAGGTGCTCTGAGGGAGAAAGATGAGGCTGTTTGCTTCTGTGAAGAGTGACAGCCTTGGAGACCCTGTGGGCAGGTCTACTCTGTCCTCTAGGGGCGCTGTGGGTCGGAATCGACTCCAGGGCAGTGGGGTTTTTGTTTATTTTTCTATTCAGTCCTCGTTCACATGGGGTCACCTACAGCAGCTATGGACCAGGCTGGGCAGGGCTGGGCTCAGGCTTCTCAGTCCTGTCAGGACTAGCTCTGAGGAGCCACAAAGGCAAAGAGGGCCTGGTGTCTGGCCACCCCTGAATGTTGGGGTCCACAGAATTCCATCCCGGCCCCCCTCATGGCATCTCATATCCCCCCATGACCTCACTACAAGCCAGGGTCTGTCTGCACCTGCCCCCACCTCACCCATGCTCGGAACCGGGGACCCTAGAAGCAAAGGGAACATTCTTATCCCAACAGAATTCTGTCTCCCCCACGCACCCCAGCCCACTCTGTTCCTCGTCCTCATATCTGAAACTGCCCCTGGTGAGGCACCCCTGCATCCTCCAGGGCCAGATGCCGCACACATGGGGATGGTCCCTCCTCACCCATACCTGCCTTCCCTCCGTGCCTCCCGTAACGCTCTCTGGCCCCAGATGCCAGATCCCTGCCCCGCACACCGTGGACTGGATGTCCCCTTTGCCTTCCCAGCCTGGCGGCACCCCTCCAGCCCCCTCCTCCCCAGGTCGCCCCACATGGCCCAAGGGCTGTCCTGCTCTCTGCCGGCTCCTGGGCAGAGTCTAGGCCATCCCCTGGAGGCAGACCTTGAAGGCGTCTGAACCCTGGTGCTTCAGACGGAGTGCTCTAGCAAAGGTCTGTCTCCTCACCGAGCGTAGCCTTGACAAGGCTGGCCTGGTGGCTGCCACGCCAGGGCAGGAACCCCATCTTTCCTTCCCCTGAGCCCGGCTGGCCCAGCCCGGCCATCACCAGGACACCCGTGTGAGGGCGCCTGCCCATCCTTGGCCTCTTGGATGGTCTGCAGCTGCCAAGGGGCGGGACATAGGGATGGTGTCTCAGTGGCAACTTGTCCTTGGACTCTGGTCACTCTGAGCAAGGTTCTGGGTGGTGTAGGGCCGCACTAGCAGCCTGGCAACACCAGGGGGCAGCACAGCCACAGATCCGTGGGCTCCCGGATCCCTGAGTCCTTGGGCTGGCGTCTGGGCCCCCAATGCCAGCCTGCAGGAGGTCTCTTCCTCCCACTCCAGGAGGGGTCTCTGCCGGTGAGCTGGACTGGTGCTCACAGACCTGACCCAGCGACCTTCCGTGGCCCTCGGTGGGTGGAGCCCGGGCACCTGCAGCAGCTGTCGGAGCTGCCCCTGGAGCGTGTCTGCCCTCCCTGTCCCAGGCTTCCTTTGCTCCCCTCTGGTCTGTGGAATAGGAGCTCTGGTGGCATAGCGCCGAAGGCATGTGACTGCTAACCAGAAGGCTAGAGGTTCAAACCCACCAGCCACTCCTCAGAAGGAAGATTGGGCCATCCTCTCCTGTAGTGATACTGCCTCGAAAACCCAAGGAGGGGTCACCATGAGTCCGATCTGATTCCATGGCAGTGAGTTTTGTGTTATTTTGGTCCTTGGAAAGGGTCTGATCAGCGTTGGAGCCTGCGAACACTTTTTAGGACATATCTTTCTGAAGCAGTTTTATTGAGAGAGAATTTACATACCCTGCAATTCAGGTGATTAAAATGTAAAATGTAATGGTTTCACTCTGTATCCATCACCATAGTGGAGGAGAATGTTTTCATTGCCCCCAAAAGAAACCTCACACCCCTAGCCGTGGCCCCAGACCCTCAGACAGCCGGCAACCTGGTCTCCGTGTCTCCTAGACATGGAACATCTGACCCCAAGTCTGACCTCCTTCCTCAGCACGCTGCTTCCAGATTCCCCCATGATGGGCCTGGACCGCATTTTTCTCTCCTGAGAAATCTTCCAAGGGGTGCAGGGACCTGGAGCCAGGTTCACTGTGTGTCAGGCAGGCAGGGACCCGCAGGCACAGACAGTGGAAGAGGCGCTGGGGGACACAAGGGCTGGGAAGGCTTCCTGGAGGAGGTGGTATGTATGCAGCATCTGGAAGAGGGGGCCACACATGCCAGACCCCAGACCCAGGCAGGTCGGCGGCCAGTCACATGGCGAGGATGCAGGATGTGGAAGGGATGAGGA